ACCAGTGTATGCCAGACGCTTGTCATATGTTAACCAACTAGTAGTTATACTGAATGAACCAAGCACGCCATGGGAAAAATCACAAATTTTTGAAGCAGTGACTCGTGGTGCTGGTTTCGAAGCTATCTTCGAAGATCCTCGGTAAATCCTTTAAAATAAATCGATTGAATTAATGAATATTAAATTCGTTACTCTATGAGATATTGATCAACGTATTTGCGTGTAGCGCTCCTACAAATTTTAAAACTGCAGTAGCAAAATGTCTAGCTCAAACCGCTCTGATAATGAACAATGAAATAAGCAGCTTTTTTCGCTGGATATTTGAAAGGTTGCAGGCTTCAGATAGTAGTTCTAAGGAAAAAGAGAAAGAACGCAAGCTTTGGTTATTGACTTCTTTACGAGAGGTAAACGTAAACCGATAAATAGAATGTAAATTATAATCTGAAATCTAATTAAAATTGCTCGAACAAAAATATATAGGTTTTTGTACGTAACCAACTTGCTTCAAGTTCTCAAACTGTATCAAATTCTGGACCTTTTCAACAGTTCATTCCTAATGTTCTTCATGATTTGGAAAGTTTGCTAGACTCAATGGATAGTTCAGATTGCTTTCCTGGAATATTAGAGGTGTTAGAAAAAATAGCAGAGCGATATCCTACTGAATTTGGTGAACGGTTTCAGGTATTTCAAAAAATTTAATAGGTGCTTTTTATGTTTACAAGGTTATTCAATATAAATGATTAAATTCGTAGGATATAATTGATCTATTGGTGGGATGGTATATAGATGTGTCAGTCTCGGATACGCTTCATTCTCTTATATCAGGTATTTAATACCGTCTTATTTTTAAGATTATACTTGTATTTTTTTTACATATTTTTCTTTTTCTACAAATGCAAACTCAATAATTTCAGATACTTTCAAAAGACTACGCTCTTTTTGGTCAAAAAACTTGAATTTTGCTTATGAGTTATTGAGCCACTTTCTAGCAGACATGGAGGTGCTTTCAGGTGTGACAGTATCTCAAGAAGGACCTCAGATCGATGATAGAACCAAAAGCGAGGGTGAAACTATGCCAAGTAATTTGAAGGCACTGTTAAGGTAGTGTCCAAACTTGTCTATATTTAATAACAAATTGATGGGGTTTATTTATTTATTTTATTTTATTTGTTATTATTATTATTATTATTATTATTATTTAGCTGCTTTCAAGCTATTGCTGATGCAGTTGGCTCAATTTTGCATCAAACTTCTTCGGTGGATGTTAACAATGCGATTGACACAGAAAATGCGCATCCCTTTGATCAACTGCGAGCCTGGATCATTAAGTTCATATTTGTTATAGCCGAATTATATATGGATACTGGATGGTTTGAAAAGGGTAAATTTATTAAATAAACTTTATAACTACTTAAGAATAAATTAGCTCAAAATCTGACTATTGTTTTAAGGGAGCCAAATAATTTTGACTATGAGCTCTACGAGAAAGACATCATTTGTACAGCATCAAGTTCAGTCGGCCAAATTTTTGTTGCTACAGGTTCAAAATGGTCTTCAAAAAGAATCGATTGATTTTGTAGTAGATGATTGGTTTGACTGTTTCCTTCAGGTTAATTATTATTTTATGCATTCATTTTTTGATCGCCTTATATTTAATCTGAATGGTGTATTTCCATTATATCATTTTTAATATTGATTTCTATAGATTCTCTCTCAATGGACTCCTCATATTCATCCTGATGTCATAATCATATTGGCAGATCCAAATTCTTCACTAATGAAACTTCGCTTATATCACCCGTATTTCGCACGGCTGCATTCGGACATTTTAGACATGTTCCGTATACTTCTTAAGAATCAAGATCATAACTCTATTTCATCAGAAGATAAAATATTTCTTATTCGACAGATTACTATTGAAATTAGTCAAATGATATCTTTCATACTTTCTTTAAATAATCCAAAAATTGACATGCAATCACCATTAAAACATAACGTAATGATTAATACTATTTATGAAGAACATACGTCTGATCTCTTTCCTGAAGGCTTGCAGTCTCTTTTTAATGTCACTAATTTGCCCACAAGTACACATATATTGAATGATAGAATAGCAACTTTTGTAATTGTTTTTGATATTGAGCTCATTATACAACTTGCGCCTGTATTGGGGCATGCTAGAGAAATCTTTTGGATTTTTTACTTTATACTTAACAAACTCAGGGAATGTGGTTATTTTGACGGTATATTAATGTGTTCTTTGATGAATGCTCTTAGACATGCATGTAAAAGGTATTTAAGGGCAGGTTTTTCTTAAGCATATTCATTTTTATAGTCATAATAATCTGTCTCCAAAATTATCTAGCAAGCGTTATTTTATACCGGAAGTAGAAGAGAAGCATCAACCTGAATCTGCATTTCATACAATGATTTTTCTCATTAATGCACTATTGCAGAATCAGCTTGAATTATCTTTCAATGTTTTTACATTAATTATTGAATGGGTTAGAGATGTTTTGGAATTTTGCAATACTCATGAATTTACGTCAACTGATACAAAAGATCATATTCGTCAAGAACTTGAGTGCATTATTTGCACTCTGATTGCTGTGTCTAGTAAGTTACAAAAATTCAACGAATACAATTAATTAGTTGAAGATATTTATTCAATTGTATAAATTTCAGGATCTGTCAAAAATAATAACATCCGTATACAAATACCTAAAGTTATACATGATTATTTTGATGTTTTTGGATCGCTAAACATTAGTCAAAAGTCCTTTTCTAAGATTATCCAAAGGTATAAATGTTATTACATCATTGTGTTTATTTATCAACGGAGTTCCTGTTTTATGATGTCCAACCTTCTCTTAATTCAGGATTAATGACGTAGACCTTAGAGTACAATCTGGGTATTCCAAGTTGATTTATAGAATAAATCCTTTTTTTGCAACTTTTTTGCATGACGATTTAGAGGATCAATTAGTGATGAAATTCAAAGTACTCGCACGCTATTTTAAGATTCAAAGTATCTATAAATGCTTATTAAAAATTAACTAGGCAATATTTCTGCACAGGCAAATGTGTGCATGGCACCGAATTTAGGCAATTTCAGATCACCTCATTTCCAAATCGTAATGAACCATTTGGGAATGAAAGAGTTATTAACCGGACAAGATGAAATTGACAACGTTGCATATGATCCAAGCGAGAAAGGACAATGGCGCCTGCGATTGTTCCTTTCGTGCCAATCTAATGATTTATTCAATATACAAGATGTTATAGAAGATTACAATCTCAAATATGGTACTTAACACAATCATATTATACGTGCACGTTTTTGCATTATTCTATATAAGTTAAATTATTTACTTGTCTTTAGTCTATTCACAAGATGAAATTGTTTATGCTGTTGTAAATTCCAACGACTTGCTTACATTTTGGACACTTTGGGAGGTTGCTCGTTATTGCGTACTTTCAAGGTTACGGACACCATTCGGAGGACCAAAGCAGGTAAATGCTTAACGAATGCTACTAAGGATTTCAAACTATAATTTATTTATAAATTATATATTTATTGTTTGCATTAGACATTTGATGCTTTTGAAAAGAGATTAAATGAATTACTGGCAGATGACCTTTTGATTTCTATAAAAAATGAATTGGATGATGATAATTTACATTATAGGTAATTAAGGAATAATAGTCCTATTAAATATCTAGATTTGTTATTTGTTATTTAATCCTGAATTTTAATAATTTTGAAAAGTATGATAAATCGTTATCAATTACGTGACTTAATAAATTTGTTTGATCGCTTGGAACTTCAAATATATAATGCTACTGTTGGGAC